CAAGACTAGACTATTAGTATTGGTCTATTACAAACTACTACTAACTATTAGACTTATTGTGCTTTCATGGTTGACAGAAAACCACTCTATATCTAGTGATGATTTAGCGATGATATGCTACGTAGTGTCAGTCATTGTGAAAGTCTTTGATATTACATTTTAGCAATTTGTCTTGAATAGGATATGGAATTTTACGATTTTGCTCTGTCTTGGATAGGGTTAGGAATTAGAGGTGCCAGAGGAACGTTCCCCCTGGACCAAGTACCGTCTTGGGCTGCTCACAGGGCGCCCAGGGTCAGTACTTGTGTTGCTTTCATGTGCCGGAGTCCATTGATTGAGTCACTTACGCGGTTCGAGGCAGACGAAGCCGTAAATATTTTTTTTAAATCCGCGTTTTTATATTCAACCTCACGTTTTCATTCACACTGACTGATAACAATAAATTTTGATTGACAGTCCGAGAATCTGACAAATTCCACATTATGCGTTTATACTGGCTGTATAACCTTGTCGTTAATTTTTTTTAAGGTTTGTTATCGTAATATGGCGCACACGAGTGGTCATTTTGGAATTTTCAGTTAGTTGACTTTACAAATAGAATTAGTTTTTTGTCGATATTTCACTTCGTTTTTCACTGTTTTCCGTCAATTGTCTTGAGCGATCGTGAATTACCTCCTGAATTTCTCAGAAACTCGCAGGTCCTGCAGTATCGTCCCCGCGGGAATGTAACTCGCTCAATGTCATCATGTAAGCTCAACTGATTGATTGTCTATTGATTCAGGTCTGTCAACGTGGACCTCCTGGGGTTCCAGGACATAATGGTYATCCTGGACACAATGGAAGACAAGGGATTCCAGGCCGAGACGGMCGWGACGGCAAAGGGCAGCCTGGTGCTCCAGGCGCGAAAGGTGATCGAGGTCCTCCAGGAATACCAGGTCAATCACTTATATCAAACTGGAAACAGTGCGCGTGGAAAAAGGGCGAAGGGAAAGATAATGGACTGATCAAGGTTAGGGACTGTGCAATAATTACCAGGAGGGGTGGGCGTAAAACCAGAGGGGGGCATTACATAAAATTGATGATCGAATGTCTATAGACGATTTGTATTTTGACGTCATCATGCAACTACAACTACCAGAATGCTTTGTCTACTTTCGTTTTTAATGCAATTAAGAAGTAATAACAATGAAATCTTCAAAGCTCTCTGGTAGTCTAGTAAACGCCATCATGCAAACGGCTATTGTCAAACATGCAAAAAAAAAAAAAAACGACAAAATGGAACCCATGATGCCCTATGGTACGAAGTATACCAATGCAATGGAGTCATAAGAGCACTCAAGAGAACATAGTAGACTGAGTTTGCAAATGAATATACATGCTCACTTTTTTAATCTTGAGTCTTCTTGTATTATCTTATGATTGACAGACCCAACTTTCCACAATTCACTCAAAAATGCATAGTCTTAGACTCTACAATAAAAATAGTGTTGTTTTCGTTTAGGAATGCATTTTCAAGAAAAAACAAAAAAGAACAGCTCTGCGTGTTTTCTATGGAGGCAACCTTCGAATCATCAACTGTAAGAGCTGCTGTAAAAGGTGGTACTTTACATTTAATGGAGTTGAATGTCGAGGACCTCTTCCCATTGATGGCGTCTTCTATATGAGTATCAGCAACGACATACACCGTCACCGTCACATCGAAGGATACTGTACAAACATCCCTGCAGGCCAAGTGCGCGTTGGATTTTGGGTAGGGAATTGTCACGGTTACGGAAATGCAGACGCACACAGCGGATGGAATTCAGTCTCAAGGATTGTGATCCAAGAGGTCCCTCCACAGCAAATATAATCACAATATTACCAGAAAAAAATTAACCGACTGAACAAACAAGCAAGAAACCGTAGCCAACCAACCAATAGCCAACAGAGAACCAGTTAAAGCAGCAACCAACAGAGAACCAGTAACCAACAGAGAACCAGTTAAACCAGTATAAACCAACAGAGAACCAGTTAAACCAGTAACCAACAGAGAACCAGTTAAAGCAGCAACCAACAGAGAACCAGTTAAACCAGTAACCAACAGAGAACCAGTTAAACAAGCAACCAACAGAGAACCAGTAACCAACAGAGAACCAGTTAAACCAGTATAAACCAACAGAGAACCAGTNACTTAGAGACTAGATGTCTCTAAGTGATATCATATCTAATACGTTTTTAATTCAAATTGTTGACCTCTTAGGCAAAGAAAATAAAAACTTTACAAGGAAAAAGATGCCTATAAAATCATTAAATTCGCCTTTCTGTTATTGATACACAAAGTTTCTTCTTGTTCTAATTTGAAATCTTTGCCCCCACAAGACTGTCTAACACTAGAAAGGATATTGATTCGGTTTTGTAAGCATACAACTTTAAACTCTATGCGATCTGCACATGCGCGTACTTCTAATGCCTAGACAGATGCATTCCGATGAGATCACAGATACCACATTTGTAAACGAATAGTTTTTTTGTCATATAAAAGCCAAGTAGCATATAACATTTACTAACGATATTCGTACATCAATACGCTTGAGCTTCCGGTCATGTAATAACACAGTCAACCCAATAGTTAATTATTAAATTCTTAACTTCCGGTGGTCCAAACGCGACATGACACTCAGATAGATAGATAGATAGATTGACTAAAAGGTAAATTTAATTATTTAATTATCTCGTTAGGAGCATTCCCATATATTTGCTATACTCATATTATACCATTGCCATACAGACGATCGAGGAGGGGGTAGCCTCAGTTTGGGATATAGAGTAAGCTTTTATGTTGTCATAGTGATAGTTTTTTGTCGTATTGGTGTGTTGGGTACGCTTAAAACAATACAAAATGAAAAATATTTACTGCAGAAAATCGATGTAGTCAACAATTTATGCATCATGACAACCAGTGTTTAGAACATGAAAACAACAACGTACTGTTAGGTTTGATCTTCAAAAATGTATTCGCTCTCTTGCCAAAATAGACATGATGGGTTTGCTGTTTGACTGACAGTCACCAGAAACTCATAAGGGGATTAACCCTAACCCTATCCCCTTATGAGTTTCTGCAGTCACTGAATGAGGAAAAAATTGATCTTTTTATTATTTCGTAATTTCATGTCTAAACAGGTTAGCACCTCATGCGATAGACTCAGTGATTTTGAGGCGAGCATCTAATCATCATACGTCTTCTTAAAGAAGAATAAGAGAATTATTCCCAAAAGATGTATCGTATTCATCTTGTTGTGGCATTGCTATTCTTAAATGTGATGATTGAGGCAAATAAGGTAAGAGAAAGCAGAGTGTCAGCTTTTTTGGACAAATTAGTCAATAGTTTTGGTGTTTTTGTACCTCTTCTAACCCTTAATATTACTTCTAAAGCTTTTATTTCTTTTTCCGTGAAACTTTCATAATTTTTCTGCAGCTATATGATATCTATCAAATATCAGTGTTGTCAACAATAGTGA